GGGCACCCTCCTGGGCACTCCCATCCATGTGATATCCCAAGGCAGCACGCGGGCATCCGCAGACACCCCCAGGACACTCCTGGCACCCCACGGGCAACTCCAGGAGACACCTGGGATACCCCCATTGCACACCTCCCCTGGCACCTCAGGGTGGGACATCCCTGAATATCACATGGGCACCCCCAGACACCCCAATGGGCACCCTGAGGACACTGCCATGGCATTCCCTCAGCCCACCAACGTTACCCCCGAGAAACCCACGGGTACCCCCAGGAGACATCCCGGATACCCTTAGGCACCACTAGGACGCCCAAGGGGACATCTCTGGGCATCACATGAGCAACTCCCTAAACACCCCTGTGGGTATACCAGGGAAACCCCCAGGCCCTCCCAGGAGAACCTCATGGCACACTCCAGGGACACCTTCAACAGGCACACAGAAACACCCCAAGGCTTGGGCACCTTGTACCATGGGGGGAGCTGCATGGGCACTCCCTTCATGCTGGGGGTCCCGGCACATTGCAGCCCCTGAGCATGCTGCAGCCCTTTCACCCTGGGCCAGAACCAGCCCCCAAAGCATCCCCCCTGTCCCCAGCTGGATCCACCTCCACCCTACTTAGGGTACCCCCACCCAGGGCAGGGTACCCCCACCCCAGGCTGCCCCCCCAGCCCTTCCCCTGCCCACAGGAGTCAGGGAATGAAGAGGTGCGGTTCATGCACCTGGACCTCGCCAGCCTGCGCTCAGTGCGAGCCTTTGCCAGCACCTTCCTGCGCCAGGAGCCCCACCTGCACCTCCTCATCAACAACGCGGGTGAGTGCCAGGACCCCAAATGCCCCCTGCACCCTTGGGGCACCAGCCGTGGGCTGCCATTGCCTTCTTCGCAGGGGTGAGCGCTGGGGGCACGACAGAGGATGGCTTCAGCCTCCCCTTCCAGGTGAACCACCTGGGCCACTTCCTGCTGACCCAGCTGCTGCTGGAGCGGCTGCGGAGCTGCGGGCCCAGCCGGGTGGTCATTGTCGCCTCCAGCGCCCACTGCGCCGGCCGCCTGCGCCCCGAGTCCCTGGGCCGCCCTCCCCCAGGGCTGTTCTCTGCCTTCCAGGACTACTGTGACAGCAAGCTGGCCAACGTGCTGCATGCCCGCGAGCTGGCCACGCGGGAGCAGGACACACAGGTCACCTGCTACGCCGTGCACCCAGGTAGGACCTGCACTGGGTGGGCTCACCATCGGCATCTGCCGGGGGTGTGCTCTGCACACCTTTGTGTCCCTGTGTGTCCCGACCTCATGCTTTGCACAGTGAAGTCACGTGCACAGGGGTTGCTGTTGCACAGGGAATGTTTCGCATGGTGCAGCCTTTGCACAGGGAATTCCTGCACGTGGAGCATTATTCCCTTGCATGGTTGTTACTCTTTGCACAGGGTGTCCTTTTGCACATGTGTGTCCCTCTGCATGGAGTGTCCCTTTTATATAAGTGTGTCCCTTTGCACATGTGTCCTTTTGCATGGCGTGTCCATTTATATGGTGTGTCCCTTAGCAGTGTCCCTGTGTACAGTGTCCCTTTTCAC